GGCATGGGCGCCCGCCGCCGCGGCTGCCGGCGCCGGCCCGCAGCCCGCGCGGGGCGGGCGGTACGCTGACGTGGACGCGTCCCTCCTCGACATGCTGGCCAGGCGGGACGCGGAGGAGGCGCGGGTGCGCGCGGCGCTGGCGGCCTCGCTCGAGGAGGAGCAGCTGCGGAAGGCGCTCGCCGCGTCGATGACCGAGGCCGGCGCGGGCGCCGGCTCCGGCGGGGACGCGGGGCGGCGCGGCGGGGGACGTTCGGAGGGCGGCGGGAGTGCGTCGACAGAGGCGGACGCTGTTGTGGACGTTACTGCGCCGTGGTGGGGCAGGGCGCCGCACGGCGGGGCAGGCGGCGGCGGCGGCAACAGGTAGCGGTGGTCGCGTCTGGGCAGCTGGCGCGAAGCGGCGCGTGGCCGCCAGCCGCGCTCAATACGGCTGGGCGCACCGCTCGCCTGGTAGCGCGGTCGCGGCGTGGGCCTGGCGTACCCCCTCAGGTGCCGCACTGGCCGTGTCACGTGCGACGCGGGCAGCACGGCCTGCCTTTGGGGGCTCTATTGATGTCCTTTTAGGGAGCATAAGCACAGGCCGACAGCTGGTTTTCCATGGATCTGGCCGCGACGGCCGAGCTCCGTTGAGCCGCACATGTGCCAACCAACAAAGCCAGTATCAGCGTTTGTACGCAGGCGTTGAAGCGGCCGTTTCCTTGAGGCCCATTGACTTATCTCTGCCCATCTGTGGGAGCAGCAATTGCCTTCACGACCCACAAACATCCAACGCACTCCGCCAATCATCTATTCGCTTGGCGCGGTCCATTGCCATCCATTCACGCAGCTCACCTCCTGCCTGCGCCGTTGGACCAGGCCGCTTTGACTGCATGCAGTGAATGGGCATGAGCTTAGGCCCTCTTCCGACCCGCATTCACACATTTTTTGTTGGGACTTTTCATCCATTCCAGGTCTACACTATCTCCTTGATCTTCCCTTCTCCTGTATTCCCCAGCAGCCCTTGCCACAAATCAGTCTTGTCGGTTACACGACTGTGCACTTCGTCATGCAGTAATAAGGTACTTACAGATGATGGGTTGTGAATTGATCGATACAAAATTTTTGTTGTGCATTGCAGGGAGATGAGGTGAATTGTGGCAGACCAAGCTTGAAACTTAAGGCATACGCTGAGATGATGTGTTCATGATAAACAGCCAGCTCGTTGATTTTTTAGAATGTGCAGGTGTTCAGAACCGGCAAGCTCAAGACAAAGTTGAAACCAAAATGGTTGCGTGCATGCAACGTGCATATACAAATGCAAGCAAAGGGCAGCGGGGGCCGCGCACAGGATGTGTGTCACGTGTCACATCGCGGCGGCCAGGGTGGGCAGCGTCACCGAGCGGTTGAGGCGACGCACGGGTGCGCCCAGCGGGGGCTTCGCCGACGCCACGATCACCGAGCACGCCTTGTTCAGCAGCCTGCCAGGGAGGAGGTGCGGCGCCCTCTCGGCGGAGGGCATGTCCAGGGCAAACGCGGTCCCGAAGCCCTCCGCGCCGACGGACGGGGCGCGGACAGACAGCGTCTGCGAAATGGGCTCCTCCCAGAACTCCGACGCCAGCTCAGCAGGCGCTGGCGCCGCCTCGGCCGCCGTCGCAAGCCCGCCCGCCGGCCGCGCAGCTGTGAGCGCGAGCTCCTCTACCGTACGCGCGCCGAACCGCTGCGGCGCGTCGCTCGAGGCGACGTCGTGGCCGGCCAGCTTGCCGCCCACGAGGTACTCCCTGCCCATCACGCCCTGCGCCCACGTGATGACCCGGTCCACCCAGGGCGTGGCCACACCCAGGATCTCAGCCACGCCCCGCAGCGGCACCAGGCCGCACGGCAGGTCCTCCGTCAGCAGCCGCGACGAGAAGTCGGGCACCAGGCCGCCGCCGGTGACGGCGGTGTCACCGGGTGCAGCGGGTGACGCGGCCATCGGGTGACGCACGCCGGCGTAGGCGGCGTTGGTCCTCAGCAGGCTCAGCGTGGTCGAGTCATCGTCGACCTGGCCGCGGTACATGCCGGCCAGGGTGCTCCTGGGGTCCGTGATGCCAGCCGGGAAGTTCACGCCGAGAGCTTCGCACAGCGCGCCAACCACGGCGCGCGCGTCGGCGGCCAAGCCGTCGATGGCATCGGCGGCGGTGGGGGTGGCGGCGTGGTAGAACAATGGCGCCTCGGGCAGGGGAGTGCCGTCCCAGTCGGCCCAGGTGCCGTACATGACGCCGGGGTGCTGTGGTGGTTGGGAGCAAGGGGTGTTGAAGCGCGGGACGGTGGTCAGGAGAGGAGCAAGAGCATCTGGTATGCTGCGGTCGCAGGGCTGCTCGCAGGCTGAAGCAACGGAATGCCGGCTGCTTGCAAGCACACAGCAAGCCGCCCCACCCGAACCGGAAGCTGGGCGAGGTGGCAGGAAAAAGCCATCAGTTCAGCAGCGTGAGCCTCCTCGTTTCCTGTTTCCATGTTGTAAGCTCACCACAATGGGGTTCAGCATGAGGCCATAGGGGATGCCCAGCACGCCCTCAAGCGGGGAGTCCTCCAGCTCGAAAGCGGTCCCAGGGAACAGGCTCCCGAGCAGCGGCGGCAGCATCGCCTTCAGCAGGGCAGGCGCGCCCGGCGCTGCCGCAAACGTTAGCGCCGTCTTGGCGCCGCCGACGCGCACGCGGCCGGGGCCGACGAGGCGGCAGGCCCAGGGGAGGGTCTTGGCGGCGGCGTAGACCGGGAGGGGGGCGCCGGGGCCTTGAGCGGCGGCGACGGCGTCCGCGAGCGACATGTAGTTGGCGGGGCCGGTGCCCATTAGCAGCAGGACTAGCTGGTGGGGCCCCAGATGCGGCGCCAGCTCAGCGAGCATACCGGGGATGGCCGGGCCGGGCAGCGACACGACCACGACGTCGGCGCCTGGCGTCACCGACGCCGCGTGGCTGGTGACGCCGGCGACGCGGCCGCGGGCCTCGCCGGCGGGGGAGGAGACGGTGATGTCACCGCCGGCGGCGGCGAGCGCCGCAGCGAGGTCGGCGGCGCGGGCGGCATATCGGGCGCCGAGGAGGACGTTGACTGCGTGGCCTTGGGACGCGAGCAGGCCGGCAGCAGCTTGGGCTGTCGGGTTTGGCGGGACGGGGGAGATTGGGGATGGGCGAGGGGTGGGCTGTCAAGGGATGCACGTGCAACAAGTAGGCAAGCTGCAGCGTGCACGTGGTGATATAAGTACGTGCATGGCCCAACACATTCGTGGGTCGAAAGGAGGTAAAACGTCCTCAGCGTGCGCGACCCCAAACGCGCGCCCTCTCACCTCCGTTGCCGCTGCCGCAGACCACTATGTTCAGACCCTTCAGTGCGGCGGCCATGAAAAGCTCGACGGCGACCCGCAAATAGAGGTTTGAAGGAGGTTTGTATAGATAGGCCGCGCCAACGGCTGGGCAGCGATGAAAGCTGGCTGACCACGGGCCCGATGCAAACGAGTTATAAAGGGTCAGGAAAAGATGCAGAGCTGAGTTGCGCCTGCTCCTTGGGGCTTCGTGCGTTGCTATCAAATGTGAAGGACTGCTGGCTTTCGGCTTGGATGGATTTGTAAGAATGGCTGGGCGTGGTGCGAATTCAGATGCAACCTGGGCTTGAGCAACGTGGATCGGGAGAAAGTGCCCCATGATAATATGTTTGCTGGCAAATGTTTTTGCACCTGCTGTGCAGCTGCTAGGGTCCCCTGCCACCACTCTTGGCCGGGCGGCTGGCCTGCCGGGTGGCCAGGCGGGTGGCCAGCAGCCGAGTGACCGCCGCTGCCGCGCAGGCGACAAATTTGCAATCGAAGTGCAGCATGAGACGCTACGAGTCTCTGTAAGCATTCATTCTCACCTAATCCACCCGCGAACAACGCTAATAGTCCACTCGATAGAAGTCCGACGGCAGCATTGAACTTGGCCCGCGCACAACCGCGGCCAACCTCAAGTACAACTCAACTTTCACCCTGCGATTAGTCTCAACAAGAAAGTAGTTGTCAAACCTGCTCAAGGTCACCCGGCCAGGAGACGCCTTCGCCATGTCGACTGCAGCACAGACTGTCGGCACCAGCGGCCGCGGCGGAGCGAGCAAGCGCGCCGCGCTGGCTGCGGCGGCACAGCTGCGGCAGGTGTCCATGGTCACATGGCTTGCCTACGTCGCCCTCGCCATCTTCGTGCAGCTCAACTGGGGCCTGTTCGGCGTCTGCTCGCGCTACCTGCAAACGACTGCCTCCCGGCCGATCCCGACTATCCAGCTGACGTTCATGGTCAATGCAGTGGCCTTGCCCGGCCTGCTCCTCTTCGTGGCGCTGCCAGACGCGATCGCGGCGCTCTGGCGCTCGCGCGCCGCGCGCCGCGCCGCAGCCGAGCAGCCCAACCCTTCCCCTAGCAGCGGCGGCGGCGACCCCGCGGCCAAGGTGGCCGACGCCGACGGCCTGGTGCTGCCGCTCGCTGCCGCAGACCAGCAGGAGCAGCAGCGGCAGCGCGACCTTCGCGCCGCACGGCGCGCACGGCTGACGTCCCTCGCGGCCGCGGCCGGCATCGGCGCCGTCGTGGCGACGCAGGCTCTGACGCTGATCTACGCCTCGCGCCTCACCCGCGCATACCTCGTCCAGTGAGCCCCCTGCCGCGCGCTTTCACCGCCTCTGCTCGCCTGCATGCCCATGCTCTGCGCTTCCGCATGCTCTGCGGCCCCATACGCCTATCCCCGGCGCCAGCCTATGCTTGCACAGTAGCTTTCAACCCCTGCCGCGCGCTCCAAACCAGCACCCAACCAACCTGACGCACCCCATTCCCCGCCACCCCCAACTGCCCCAGGTTGGTCTTCATGCTCACCCCCCTGGTCACCGCCATCGCCAACAAGCTGCTCTTCCGCCAGAACGCGCCCCGTGCCCTGCCGATTGCGCTCTTCTTCGCAGTGGCCGGGTCCGTCATGGTCATCGTCGGCAACTGGCTCTCCTCCAACCAGGCCGCCGCCGCCGGCTCCGCGCGACACACGGCCGTGGGGCTCGCGCTGGCGACCGTGTCCATGTTCCTGCTGGCCGCCTACCTACTACTGCTGCAGGCGACCCAGAAGCTCACCACTGGCCGCCAGGTCATGTGGGCCAACGTGACCGTCGCCGTCGTCGTGTTTGGTCCCCTCGGGGCGGCCCTGGAGGGCGCCGACTGGGCCTGGGTCGCGGCGCTGCGGCCCGCGGACTGGGCGGTCCTATTTTTCGCCGGGTTCTTCATCAACGCGCTCAACACAATTTGGACCCAGTCCTGCAGCCGCGTGCTGGGCGCCGCGGTCGTCGCGCTCTTCATCAGCTGCCGCCTCGTGTCGTCGCTGGTGGGGTCCATCATTCTGCTCAGGGAGATCCCCGGGTCCCCCCTGACGTGGGCGGGCTTCGGCGTCGTCATCGCCGCCATGAGCGGGTTCATGGTGCTGCAGTACCTCCAAGGCCGCCGCGCGGAGGCGGCTGTCGCCGACGAGGCGGGCGCTGCGGCCGAGCAGGGGAGTTGCGAGGGCTCGCCTCCTATGACCCGCGCTGGGGAGCGTGGCGCGGGTGGCGCGGCGGCGGCAGCAGGGGCGGCAGGCTCGTCTGGCCCCGAGGTGCGCCAGGAGGGCCAGCGCACATCGGCTAAAGGGGAGCTGCCTGTGTAGCGGCACATTTGTGCAAGCGCAGGCTTTGCAGGGCTGACACTTTGAACACAATTTTGAAACCAGAAGACTTGGTGAAGAATCTATCAACACATGAGTCGAATTTGTATGCCGCCATCTGTCTGCAACTAAAGCCGCATTTGCGTGCCCACACCTGTTTCCACATGCATCCTGTAAGTACACATTCTTGCGAGTATGTCATATTCTTGCGCTCACAAATTTCTGTGTCTGTGTTGGCCCACTTCACGTGGAGCCAAGTCTGTGCACGTGCGCTCACACATACCACACACGCACTGGCGTGACACGCGCGCGCGCACTTCCACAAAGGTTTTGTGGTGAAGTGAGGTGCGTTCGTTGACATGTGTGCATGCACTCACTCAGCTGCACGTGATATATGTCTTCTATTCACATACACCACTGCACCACACTGGTTGCCAATGGATGAAGGTACAATGGACAGCTTTTGGGTGGGGCCCCTTGTGGTTCCACCTGTGGCGCAGGCACAGTTTTGAGGCTTTTGATCGCTTTTTCGGTCTTCTGACCGTCACCGCCACACAAGCTTGTGAGTATGTGCCGCAGGCCGTGTTTATTGGGCGCCTGGCCAGGCGCGCTGATTATTACCTACAGAAACATCCTGCTGATCTCATACCTGCAATGCGCTGTGTGCAGCCTGCTGGCAGGGCGGGCTGGGCTATGCATCGCGGCGGGCTGCACACATATGCAATAGGTACCTGGAACCACCGGGCAGATATGTGCGCTACTCGAATTGCCATCCGTGCCGTGAGCCTGAATGCATGTATATCATGTATGCTGTGGGCGGGCGCGCGTGCCAGAGGTGGCAGTGGGCTGATGGGGCGTGCTTCCACCAGCGCGCATACGAACGGAGTCCGCGACGCGCCTGTCACACTATTGGGCACCCTGCACAGCTTGGATCAAGAGCTCTTACGAGTTTGATTAGAAGGCGGGCAGCCCTATCAGCACGGCCAACCTCTAGTTGGCAGGAGCCTCAGTAAAATTGACAGTAAAGGGCGTTGAATAGCGGGGGTGTGGGATGGGCAGAGGAGTCCAGTAAGCATGGAATCGCTCAACCAGCCATCGATTTGGTCACCTTGGCACACACTTGGTTGTTCGTATCTGTTTGCCGTTGCCAAAGGCACGCGCCTGTGCAACGAAATGTTGCCACATCAATGCAGCAAGACACGTGTGCTACTGGCAGGGTTACCCCCTGCAGTTGAAGTTCCTTGTCCATCTTCACACCTGGACCCCTGAGTGACTTGCTTTTGAAAACCGTGTGTTGCTATGGCTGCGGCCGCTGCTTGCTGACGCGCACGCAGACTCTAATGTCAAGCGTTACAAGCAACTCCAGGGCCAGAAGAGGGTGATCAGACAGATGCAGTACGAGGCTCACAAGGCTATTGCGGCCACAAGCAGTGTCATGCACTTCAGTAATAGCGGCCAAAGCCACTACAAACGCTTGCAAGAAGCCGCAGCCCCGGCTACGCCACGCCTTGGCACCGGTAGATGACACATCAACTGTGGGCTGCATGCATGTCTGGCCTGCCAGTGCAGGCGACTGCCTGCGGGTGCAATGATCAACTTACAAGCAGGTAGCTGCTGTATTGTACATTAAGGATTGTGCAAGGGTGTTGTGCAATCTGGCGGCCATCCACCAGGGAGACCACGCAAGCCTGCAGCCAGTTGCAGCTCTGCATGATGACACCTGGAAACCCAGCCAAAACCAGTCCTCAAGCATGGCGCGACGCCGCTGTCCGGTCCATGCGCAAAGCTGCCACCAACCATCAGGGCAGCGCGCCGCAGTCGCACGCCGCCTCAGCATCAGACCGTGAGAAGCGCTCTGACCGTGCGCGCGCAGCAATCATGTCCTCCACCAGAGCCGTCTGCCCACCAGCCACCAGCCGGCACAGCGCCCCGAAGACAACCCCCTCCCTGCCCCCATAGAAAGTGGCCCCCGCAAACAGCCGCGCCGACGCAAGCTCCGCCGCGCCGACGCCCCCGGCCACGGCGCCCGCGGCCGCGCCGGCAGCGGCCGCGCCGCACGCCAGCAGCGGCGCCGCCTCTCCGCGCTCGAAGGCGCGCTGCACGAACGGCACGGACAGGAGCGAGGCGGGGGGGCGGGCGGCGCGCCGCATCTCCCGCAGGATGGCGTCGGCCTCGCGCTCCGACAACAGCACCAGGTCGCCACTGCAGGGTGGGGGCCCACGCCAGAGGGGCAGGTGACAACGGGGTCGAACTTGCATCAGAACAGCGCCCATATGTGTCGTTTTGAGGGGGCTTTAAACTGGAGAATGCATGCAGGGCATGCATGGCAGGTGGGCAACGACGTACTCAATAGCCAAAGCACGCCTGCCACGCCCAGACGCGAACCAGGGAGCAGCGCACCTCTGGAGGGCGAGCGCGGACTCTGGCGGCCGCAGGTACCCGTTCGCCGCGCCGCCCGGCGCCAGGTCAGCGGCCCTGAGGAAGTTGCGCGTGCACCACACGCGCCCCGACCACGGCAGGCCGGCCAGCTCACGCGGGGCCAGGGCCAGCGTCCCCGCGATCGCGTCGGGCAGCCGCTCCAGGCCCGCCGCGGCGCGCAGGTCTGAGGCGGCGCGGGCGGCGGGCGCAGCAGAGTAGTTCCAGTCGGACTCTGGCAGGGCGCGGTGCGAGGGCTCCTCGCGCTCCTCCTCCTCTTCTTCCTCCTCCTCGACAGCCAGCTCTGATGCGGCATAGGGAAAGCAGGGCGTCCGCAATCCATGAGGTGGAAATGAGCTCGAAAGTGCCGCCAGCAAAGTGAGTCAGTTGGTGGGGTGGGCCAGCTGAGCCGTGCCAGGGCGAATGTGCATGGCAAGATGAGGCATGAGCCGCCCGGGCAGGCAGCAAGGTGTAAGCATGAGGTGTTGCGTGCACGAAGGTAGTGGGCGCGCAATGACAACAAGCAAGGCCGTTCCGCTGACGGGCTGGACCTACCTCTCTCGACCTCCTCCTCCGCACCGCCGTCGGCCAGGCCCCGCAGCGACGACAGCACCTCCATCCCCTCCCCCATGAGGGCGCCGCGCCTCTCCACCTCCGACAGCACAGCCCGCGCCGCCGCGTCCGTGTCCGCCGCCGCAGGCGTCCCGTCGCCGTCCTGCACGCGGCGGCCGCGCTCGCGCTCGGCGGCGGCGTGCCGCGTCCGTCGCTGCACGATGGAGGGCGCGGGCTGGCGGCGGCGGCCGTCGCTGTAAAAGTCTTGGAGCTCCAGCAGCTCTGGCTGCAGGGCCCTTTCGGGGGCGCCCAGCGTGAGAGCGTAGTGGGAGCCCTGGTGCAGGATTGATTTTGGGATTTTGGAGGGGGGGGGGCGATCAGGTTTGGGTGGGGGACGAGAGGAAATACTATGCGCCAGGCCTGTATGTAGAAGCGCAGGCGGCATGCGGCAGAGATGGATACGCAGATCAATCCTGCACAGACGTTTTGCGTACAGGCACCCCGGCACTCGACAGCGACATTGCCGCCGCGCGCGCCGCGGTGCCTGGGTGTGCGAGAACTCTGCCTTTTGCGGCGCATCATCAAAACAGCTCAGCGTCACCTGCTCCGCCCACTCCAGAACGCCGGCCTGGTTGGCCTGCACGGTGTTCAGCATAACCCACTCCATCACATGCACGGCGCCCAACGCCGCGGGAGGGTCCAGGCCGCAGGTGGCGCGGATCTTGGCGGCGACGTCTGGGGGCGCTGCGTAGCGCACAGACTGCGTGCCGTGCATCAGCCGGCGCAGGCGGCCGGCGCCTGCGGGCGTTGTTTGGGAGCAGGGCTGAGCGGGTTGGGCCCGATGCGACCGGCGCCAGCCTCAGCGTTGGTCGCGGGCAGGCTTGCTGCCGATTGTTCGCTTGACCTGGAGTCTGCATATGAATCAGCTGCAGGTTTCCAAAAACATACACGGACAATCCCACCTATCTACTGCCCCTCCGCCACCTGCAGGGGCCTCTGATTGATAGTACTGTCTCCTTGAGCACACCCACTGCCAATCCTCCCAGTTTGGCTCACCCTGCATCAGCTTGTCCTTGCACAGCCCGGGCCCCAGCGTGACAAGGCCCACCGCGTCAGGCCGCAGCTGCGGCGCACAGGCGGGCGAGGGCAGGAGGTCGTTCAGGCTGAGCCACAACAAACAACAGTACGCTGTTCATCATGGCGCACAGCATTCTCTCAAACACATACAGACTGACTCATATGCGCAAGCTCTGTCTACAGGCATGCACGTGCGCACGCAGGCACTGACGCACATACGCGTGCGCACACAGGGACACACAGACACACTCACACGCACATGCGCACCCACATGCACACACAAATACACGTGCACATACCTTCAGGTCGGCGCCACGGCACCTGGCATCATCGTAAATCACAAATGTCTCCGCCTCTGGCAGCGGCGACTCATGCCGCGCGAGCCTCCGCCCTGCGACGTCGGCCACCAGCCAGCAGCGGTGGCGATCATCGAAGTATGTGACGCCTCGGAAGCGGGCCCCCACGAGGCCATTGTCCTGCAGGAGCTTGAACACGTGCTTGACGATCTCCCTGTTTGAGGGACGCGAGTGCGGCAGAGATCACAGCGTGCAGTACATCGGACAGCGCAGGACAGGGGACAGAGAGGTCCTGTCCAGCAGAGCAGCAGTGGCAAGCTGAGCAGCAGCAACAAGCGAAGTCAGGCCAAGCACTGATCAAAGCACGGGGGGATGCGCGCATATCTGAGCTGCGGTGGCGATAGCCGGGCCCGCAGGGCGCAACTGCCGTCCGCTCACTGCATGGAGACGCCCGCAGAGGCGAGCAGCGCCCCGGTGTCGAGCAGCGCGTCAAAGGGCCCAGAGGCCGCCACAGACAGCAGCGCCGCCCACATGGGCTCGCCGTCCTGGGGTTTGGGAAGTGATAGAAATCAGCATGCGCAGGGATCGGAGTAGAGAATAGGCGAAGGAGAGTCCTTCAGACAAGTCATCCACGCGCGAACTTTAGGTGGCCACAGGTCCCTGGCACCACCACGGCGGGCTGCGCACGCGCGCACGCTGTGCCGGGCCGTCCCAGAGCGCTGTTTTGAATAACGCCCATAACCCACTGGCAGCTGGCCTGGGAGCGCACCTCTTGCGCGAGCTCTGTCACGGCCCCCTCCTGCAGGGGCTGCCTCAGCAGCAGGTCCAGCATCTTGCCGTCAGTCGCGCGCATCTCAGCCGCACCCGGCGCAGGGACACCCTGCTGGCAGGAGGTTTCGTCAGGCGGAGGGGTTTTCCGCGTGTCAAGCCAAGGGGTGTGCACGTGTAACGGACAGAAGCATGAGATTGGTCGCCGCGCGATGGGGGCTACGAGGCGCTGGAATACAGCATGGCACGGCGGGTCTGTGGTCGCGACGCACGTTGGGCCCGCCGTCAGGCTGGGACAGGGCCACACTGGTGGGCATCAGGCGGTGGTTGTCTTTGGTCCCACTGAGCAAGTATGGATTGGGGGCGGGGGGATGGTTGATCAGAGCATGCCAATGCTACGTGGGCGACATGGCAGGCGGGTTTTTGGACCCCCTTGCACCCAGGAAACTCAGGCAGGCCCACCCATACATGCTGTGGTGGATGACATTGTCAAAGGCAGCGTGTGGGTCACTTTGGATCATCTCATCCATCCATCCAACCAGCACAGCGCGCGCAAGCCGTTCCACGGCGGTGCTGTTGCTGGAAGACCATTCAGCACCCAGCGCTGCACCTGAAGCCGGCGACTTGCCCCAGCGGGTTGCCGGCAAGGTGCCATGCGGTGGCGCGCAGGCGACCCGGATACTGGGGATCAGGAGGTTGTGGGGGTGAGATTGTGAGGGGCAGGAGACGGGGCGGAGGATCTTGTGGCTAGGTGGGATGGTGCTGTTGCGAGCCTCGCTTCTAGGAATGCAGGCTGGACAGAAAAGCAGTGCAGCTGCGTCGACTTTGCAGATAGAATGCTGCACTGGCAGGCGCAACGGACCAACTGCAGTACACGGCAGCTTGCGGCTGTGTCGCAGTCACAAGCCAGTCCACCTGTGTCGTCTCTGCCTTGAAGACGCAGGAGGCCAGCCAAAAGCCCACAGCTGCCACGTTGTGGCTGAAAGCTTTGTGCAGGCGCTCCAGCTATGGATTTCACAGGGGAAACAGCGGGCAGGGAGTCGATCCACAGATTGCAGGGCACGGGACCTCAACTGCCAAGATGCAGCTGCTTGCACGGGGACGCCTGAGACGACCCCGCGCCTGGGAGGGCTGCAGGATTCAATGCAGCAACAACTAGAGTTCGTCAATGGTTATTAGCAATGACAAAATCCTGGCAGCTTGCCTGGACCTCGTAGTTGACGTCAATCTTCAGCTCTGAGTCGATTTCAGCCAGCTCCTCTGCAGATGGTGGGGGCAGCACACGTGGCCATTATCCATGAGGAATCGAACCCTGACCAAATGAGCCTTCTCCCTTGACACTAGCCTCTTCGACATGAGGACACCGCAGACATCAGCACAATCACAACAAGGAAACTCGCGCCCCCAGCACGGCAAGCGTCAGCAGGTTTGGTTGTGCACGCGGCCTGCGCCGCGCCCCGGCCCGCCTGCCGCGGGCGCCCACTCACCCTCAGTGATGTCGGGCTTTGACAGGTCTAGCCACTCCCTGTACACCTCGCCCTGGGCGCTCGGCCCCAGGCTGGTCAGCACCACCAGCGCCTGCGGGTAGGCCGGGATAGCGAGAGGCAGGCGGCGCACCGCAGCTGCGTGAGAGCAAATCCAAGGAGGTTAAGGGGAGAGCGCGGCGAAAACACATGCCGACCCCCGCCGGCGGTGGGGTTCGGGTCAGACTGGGCGCGACAGGAGCAACGCTGGTGCAGCGTGCAGGGGGGTGCGGTGATTGTTTGCAATCAATGGGACATGTTTTTTGGGGGGGCAAGGCAGCCACTTGTCACCTCCTTCAGCTCTGCCTTGGTCAGGCCTGGGAGGGTGGGCAGCAGGAGGGGCGTGGAGCACTCGGCGGGCAACCAGTGTTGCAGGCCTTGCTGGTGCCACCCTGGACACACCACAGGTCTACAGCCGGTCAGCCTTCAAGATCACAAGGCTGGCCCTCTGTTGCTGCAAATGTTCTGTCTCTGGGGTGCCCAGAAGGGCGCAAGTGCAGGCTTGGCACCCTTTTGTCTCGTTTCCCTGTGTTTTTCGACCTCGATCCGTCTCTCAGTACCGCGCGCGCACCATCCCGGAAGTAGGACAGCGCGGTCAGCAGCAGGGCCACGTCCGGGTGCGCAAACTCGGCGCGCTCAGAGGGCGTCTGGGCGGCGCGGAACGGCACCGCCAGCCGCTTGCGCGCCGAGGGAAGCCTGTGTGGGCGCGGTCCGGGGAGGTTTCAGGAAAGGCAGGAGGGAGGACACATCCGCATGATTAGGATGGAGATGTCGCCTGTGCCGCCAAGCGCCGCTATGCAGAACTCAGCATACCTTGTTTACACACTCAATAATACGGATCCCTTGCAAAGGCCTTTGAAACTGTCTCGCCCGCACCCACCTGTTGACGCCGTAATCGACGAGGTGCCGCCGCTGCAGCGCGTGCGCCAGGACGCCGTACTCCCCCGCCAGCATGCCCCGCAGCGCCAGCAGGTGCGCCAGCTGGTAGGGCTCCAGGCGCGCCAGGTGGCCCCGGCCAAGCTGCTGCTCGATCGGCGCGGAGGCGTCGGTGACGGCTGACAGCACGGCACTCTGGGCGGGCAGCCGGGGTGTGAGCGTCGTGAGCGTCAGCGCCTGGCCTGGTTTGTATCAGATTGGTCTGCCACGACAGGAAGTCTCACAGAGATCTGCATTGGCACACCAAAAGATCCGGATTTGCCATGACCAAGAAATCTGCATCTGCACCACCAAGCGTAGCAACGAACTGCAACGCGCAGCTGCTGTGCGCTTGCCTTGAGGCTGCCTGCGACGCCCCGCAGCCACCGAAGCTCGTATGGCGGGCGCGCCAGCAGCGCCTCTGCCAGCGCCCTGCACACTCCAGGCAGCGCCCCCGCCAGCTCGCCGCCGGAGATCAGCCTCAGCCCCGAGTAGCTTCCCGGCGGCTTCCGGCCGTTCTCGGCCGCGACCGGCTCGAGCACGGCGGAGCCTGGCGGCAGGGTGCCGTTGGCGGAGGGTGCGAGGTCGCTGGACACGAGCTGCAGTAGGGCCAGGACGGCGGAGACGCGCTCTGAGCGTGAGGGCAGGTCCTGGGGGCTTCCCCACGCGTAGATCAGCTGCCACCTGCGCTCGAATTGCAGGGGGGTGCCGCCAGAAGGGCGAGGGCATATGGGTGAGTAACATTTATTGCAGCAGAAACAACACTGCGGATGTTTACTGGCCAGGTAGGGAACCTGACGCATGCTTTACGCCAGGTTGGCAGTGCTGGGAACAAACAAACAAGATGAGTGGGCGGCGTTCGATTTGGCAGATCAGGGGAATTGCAGTGGTCCAGAGGTTGGGGCCTTGGATGATGATTGGGAGAGCCCGTGATCGGGCCTGGCAGTGTTGTGCGGGCAAGTGGCCAAGGCTGCTCGGCGGGTCAGGCAAAGGCCGGGCAGGTTTGTCTCCCATCCATAAAACACAGCGGCGCGCCGCCCGCCCACTTGTGGCGCAGCAGCTCGTCGCTCTCATCCAGCAGGTCGACATAGGGAAGCTGCCCCACAGCTTCCAGCACCTCCTCTGTCGCCGCCGCCGCCTCGTCGTGGCTGTCCCTTGCCCTGTGCCACAGCTCGCGCTGCTTGAGCAGGAGGGAGAGCCGCCACTCGGGGGCCACCAGCAGCAGGCCGCCCTCCTGCAATGTGGCAAGGTTGGGATGGGTGGGCACCAGCATATTGAAATCGGAGGTACGTCAAAGTGAGCCTGAGGTACAGGGAAACAGCAAAGTCACCTTGAACCCCGCGTGCAACTACGCCACGCTTGGCTTGGAAGCTATCAGTCTGCTGTGCTAGGGGATTGTCCGGGCATTCACCTCCCTCATGCGCTCAGAGACCCAGCTAGCTCAAGCAATGCTGTGTGGTCCTCAGAAGTTTTGCTGAAAAAGGGCCCCTGCCCACCCGCATGCGCACGCACCTGCCGCATGTGTGCCACGCATGCCGCGATGGTGCGTGCCTGCAGCTCGGTGAGCTGCACGTCCCGGTTGAACGGCAGCACCGCCAGCTTGCGGCCCAGCGCGCTGCAAATTTGATGGAAGGGGCGCTCGATTGCCAGCTATTTAGCAGCGGTACAACGAAGCGGGGTGGCTGCAAGCATTGCGGGGTGGCAGAAACGGGAAATGCAGGCATTGAGGCTGCTGTGCCAGGGGCGGCCCCGCTGACCTGGCGGTGAGGTAGAGGTGCAGGTGATCAAAGGCCTCCGGCAGGAGCTGCGACAGCAGGTTGAGGCGCACCTGCGGCCAGGTGATGGGAGGACATGGAGCGCACAAGTTAAGCGCGTGAGTCAAACATCTGAAGGCGATCCGGCAGTCTAGGCAGCTGGTGAACAAGCAGACAGGGGGAAGATGCGCATCGCCGCTCCATCGCGCCCCATAAAGCGCGCCAGACCAAGCACGCGCCCGGTTTCGACTGATTGCTGAGCGTCCCAGCAGGGCCAACCAATCATGCATGCCATGTGCAATGCATGCAGCCGTGCGTAGCTCACAATGCGGCCGCCGCCCCGCTGAGCTAGGTGGAGTGCCAGCATGGGGAGTATGACGCGCGTCTTGCCCTCCCCCATGTTGAGCTGCACAATGGCCCCGGGGTCGCCGCCCTGGGGCAAGAGATGGGAAGAGAAGCGGCAACGTGTAGTTGGAAATGTTGGGCCGAACTCAGGGTCGTTGATGTGACGATTGTGGGATTGATGACACGCTTGTGGCAAGCGGCAGCACAGGATGTCTCATACTGCGTCAAGTGGGCGGGGCAGCGAGGTCGATGCACGCCGGCGGCGTTCGCAAAGCGGAAGCGTGGTCAGGCGGGCCGGGCAGCGCAGACGTGCCTCGGACTCAAGGCTGTTAATGAGGTGGCGTGCAACAGTGTGCTGCCGAGGCCGAATCTGCTCATGAGGGTTGACGTTGGGAGGGATTAGAAGAATTTGGCGGCATAATCAAGACGGATGGGCAAAGGGAGGTGCAGGCAATTATCCAGGCAGCGCATTGCCGGCAGGGGTGTATTAGCGGGCATGCCACGGCTGAGTTGCTATTTGACAGGTACAGCAAATTGCCAGCGCAACTGCAGCGGCGGCGGCGCCAGCGGCAGCAGCGGTATCCGCAAGGGGAGTAGACGCAGCAGCAGCAGCGACGGCTGCGGCGGCGGCACGCGCCTGGAGTCCACCCTCAGCCTCAAACACGAGCCACTCGGGGTGGGCCGCAGGGTCCCACACGCGGCTGACCAGCAGCTCCTGCATTGTAAAGCAACCAAGTAAGAGGACCACATGGTTCACACGGATAGATGCTTGCAGCCACTCTCACTGCTGCCAATCATGTCCCCACGTGTGGCCGTACGAATTGAGCAGCCTTCAGCACGGAAAGGCGCGTCAAATGCCGGCGGAGTCCTGTGAGCACGACTCCCACAGCCTGCACGTTGATGACAGAATGACAAACATCAGTCACCAGCGCGAGGGGGCCGTCGTCATCACTGGCCGCCAGCTCCACCAGGCGCCCAAGGCGGTCCTCAAGCACGCAGAGCTGCGGCCGGGACAGCAGGGCGTTTCGAGTGCGAGCGTGGGCTGCGCTGAGGGGAGTGGACAAGGTGCTTGAATATTCGGTATAGAAGCCCTTGGCTTTGATTGATCAGATTGATCATAACCGATATTGATTAACAACCTAGGATAGAGCGAGTTGATTGCCCAACTAGGCAATCAACTCGGGAAGCTTTTCAGGCCCCCCAACATGCGAGGGACGAGACCGGTGCCCCCAAATTCAACCTGGCCTGACCCATAACACGCCACAACCGCCTGCGCACGTATCGTTCTGGCGAAGCTGCCCTTGTCTGGAACCCCACCTGCAGCCACAGGCGGCACGCGGCCAGCAGGCGCTCGCGCGACGCGTCAGACAGGAAGGGGTTGAACCGCGACAGCAGCGGCGGGTCCAGCGCGAAGCGCATCAGGTCGGCCGCGCTCGCATGCGGCGCGGCGCCCGCCAGGCGCGTGCACCTGGGCGTGGCGACATGGCGGGCCGGGGGCAAGGCGGGTGCGGCACGCAGCGGTGGCGCCGAGGGGGGGAGCAGCCGACAGACCACAGGGTCCCGTCCACCAGCCTGGACTGCGCCCAGGCGCGCGGCCCAGCCGCAAGATAATCAGCTGGAGCACCTGAACAGCGCGCCGGCGTGGCGCGTTTGACCGGCCGGCACATGGTCAATGGATGCCAGGAGGTAGTGCTCCACCTCACAGCGCTTTGCCTGCACCTCTCCCTGCGCGTGGCAAGGCGCAGACCAACAGGCACCCCATGCCGCAAAGAACATTGGAAGGGCAGCAAGAGGGCATGTCAAAGGGGGAATAGCAAGGGAAAGGAGACGGCGCGCCCCAAACTGTGTTGCTGGTCGATAGTTATGCTGTGCTACCAGGCGGCGCATCTGCCCTTTATCTAGTGGCAGGGTTGGTGGCCCCCAGGGCCGTCACGCCCCCGCCCCGCCTCCCACCCCACGCGCCTGCAGCACGCGCACGCGCTCCCTGCAGCCGGCCGAGACCTCCTCAGGCACCACGAGCCCGCGGTGCTCGTCCCAGCTTGCGCGCAGCTCAGACCTCATCTCAGCCTCCAGGGGCCGCGCCGCGCCGCCGCCGCGCCCCGCCGGCGGCGGCTGCTGCCGCCCTCCAAATGGCCACTGTGGGCGGTCCGGCGCCGCCGAGCCGGGATCCGTTAACGGGTACGGCTTCCCGGAAGCTGCTGCAGCAGAACCACCTGCAGGCACCAGCACCAGGCCAAGCAGCGCCTGTTCATATGCCTCGACTGCGTCGAGCGGTACAGGACACTCTGGCACGTCGACCACGCGCGCCTGCCCCAGCCGCAGCGGCCAGAGCTCCGAGGGCGGCGCCTGCGGCGCGGCGCGCGCCCCCAGCAAGCGCGCCGCCTCGCCGGGCGTCAGCAGCGCCCGCGGGTTCGCGCCGCCCCACCAGCCGCCCGCCGACAACTCTATCAAGTACTGAGTCGCGGCGTCGGTATGGGGCTGCTTCGGCGCCAGCGCGTGCTGCTGCTCAGCCGCCTCGCCCGCGCCTGCTGGGTGCGCATGCACCGCGGCGCCAAGGAATGACAGCTGCGCCGCCGACGCCTCGAGCTCGTGGCAGGCGAGGGGCAGCGCGGGCAGCAGGTGGCCGGCGAAGGCTGCGGCGCTGCGCAGGTGGAGGAGCTCTTCTTGGGACAGCGCGGTGTCGCGCCAGCTCTGTTGCATGGTTAAAACAGACGGTCTAAAATGAAGGAGGGGAGCTGGCGTTTATATGAGGTTCAGGGGCGTGACAGCATGGGGCATGTTCCCACTAGGCTCGCTTTGTCAAGTGCGGCCACCCTTGCAACCAAGGCGCGCAAGGCAATCGCCCCAAGGCAAGCCTGGAACAGGGCTGAGAAGCCCATGCCTGCACAGCAGCTAGCAGCCAGGGGCAATTCATATACATGTGTGTGTGTGTGTGTGTGTGTGTGTGTGTGTGTGTGTGTGTGTGTGTGTGTGTGTGTGTGTGTGTGTGCGCGCGTGCGTGCGTACGTGCACGCGCGTGTATGTGACCCTCCTCACCCAGCGTACGAGCTGCAGCGCGACCTGCGCCCCAGTCATCTGACTGCCGGGCTCCGGTAGCAGCGTGGATGTGGCCGCGTACAGCGCCGCCAGCTGCAGCCGGGCCGGGATGCTGCTGGCGCGCAGGTCGCCGAGGCGGTGGTGGACGCTGTAGGCGTAGCTCTGGGAGGAGGTTGGAGGATGGAGGTTCGGGGAAGGATTGAGGGCAAAGGATTAAGGTCGAAGAGGGGTTCATGTATATGAGTTAAGGGATGATGATGGTGGTGGACCGTTGCTTTGATGATGTGTTGGCAGGGAGGCAACGGCGGATACGTGGGGGCAGCACCAGCACAGAATGTCCAGACTATCAAGAAGCAGGGCGGCGAGCGTAGATTACACCAAGTGGGGCGCTGGGCGACAGGCTGTGCACCCCGCCCCGCACACCGCACCCCTGCATGCACCCAGCCTCACCCTGAGCCCCGCGCCGCTGGAGCCGTCCACCTCAACGGTGGCGCCCCCGCCCTCGAGGAGCGCCACCTTGCCGGCCGGCACCTCCACCAACCGCTCCGCGCCGCTGCCACCGCCGCCGTTTTCCAGGACGAGGTACCGGCTGAACCCCGGGAGCGTGTAATCGACCACGCCGGTGACGCCGTCGCCGGGCGCTGCGACCGCGTCCGCCAGCTGCTGTCGCGCGGCGAGGACGTACCCGCGGCGCTGCAGCGACCGGAGCGCGCCGTCGGGCCCGCAAAGCTCAAACTCGAGGGCAAAGCGAGGGAGCTCGTAGCGCAGCAGGTAGCCTGCTATGCCCTGAGCCGCAGGGCCCGCGGGGCGGTGGACGTGGATGAAGCGGGGGTCTTCATACTTTGACAGCACGCGCAGCACGGCGTCGTCGGCGGTCAGCACCAGCTGGTCTGGCAGCTGCTCAGAAGCCGTGTCACCGTCGCCGCCGGCGCGAACGGCTGGGGGCGCCAGCAGCTCGTGCCAGGGGCGCGCCCGCAGGTGGGGCGGCACGCGGCGGCAGTCGTACGCGCGCCGCTGCCCCGCGCCGCCGTCCGTGCCGGAGCCGGCGGCGTCGGCGGAGGCGGTGGTGCAGCGGACGACGAAGTGGACGTCGCGCTGCAGGAAGCTGAGCGGGCGAATCTCGATGACGTCATCATCGCCGCCGCGACCGCCGCGCCACAGCCAGTGCGAGTGCAGCTTCCGCAGGCGCTGCGGTAGCGCCTCGCCCCAGCCGGCGCAGGCGTGGTCCTGCCCCGCGTCGAGGAGCTCCAGTGCGCGGCCCTGGTGGCGCTCTGTGACGACCAGGCGGCCGGAGGAGCCCATGAGGAAGTCGTAGAAGCGGCCGCCGGCGGGGCGGGCGGTCTGGAGGAGACCCTGGTTGGTCCTGAAGACCTGGGGGTGGTGGGGGTTGGCATGTGCGTTCCATAATGAGGACGACGTGCAGGAGAGGATGGGATTTATGCTGGAGATGGAGGTGGAACCAGGACGAAGGGGATTTATGCCAGGGGCAGAGGTGGCACCAGGACGGGGGTGCGGGAGAGGCGGGGAGTCACGCCAGGGTTTTAGAGTGGCAATGATAAGAAAGCGTGGAGTCTACTGATTGCCAGACTCAAAGAGTAACAGACGGATCCTGGGGCGATGAGGATGGATCCCAGGGAGCCATCCCGAGCACCGCCCCATGCAGGGGGCTGCAAGCAAGCGCGACAGCGCTTTTCCAGCTGGCCAACTGTCAGCACAGTTGTTGTGGCACAAGCGGCGGGATTGCACGACCCGCGCACTCACCTCAAAGTTTGTGTCCCCAAACGTGCGGCGGTACAGGGGGTGTCCGGTGATGTCAGCGGGCAGGCGGTTGGGGGGAGCACCGTCGAACAGGACGACGCCCGTCACCTTGGGGGGGCGGGGAGAGAGCAGGCGGTGCACGATCGTGGCAAGGGAGTGATGCAGGCAGTGGAGGCTTTTGAAGTACGACGTTGTCATGATTCATGATTGATGTTTTGTGGCGACCGGCGAATTCCTGGCCTCATCAGCCGTGCTGAGTTGGCACCCTGACTGCAAGAATTCCAAAAATTAGTTCGCACGTTGAGACGGCCTGACTTGTGGGCACACTCATAGCACGTCGGCCACAAACATATGGATTCAAAGAGGTCATGAACCACTCACGATGTTGATTGAGTACAGGTGCTCCGCCCCCTGCTCGTCCCTGCCCTCCGCCTCGAAGCTCGTCAGCCCCGCCAGACTCGCGTGCTGCCGCCAGTCCAGGCCGTCCGGTACGCGCGCCAGCACGCGCCGCACCGCCGCCGTCAGCACGCGCGACTGCGCGCGGCGCGCGGCGGCGGCGAGCCCGGGGGCGCGCGCGGCGGCGGCCTGTCGAGCGCCGGCGACGGCGGAGCTGAGCTGCTCGCGGACTGCGGGGTCATCTTGGAACACGAACCCGTGGTTGATCAAGACCTGGAAGGGTTTGGGTGGTGCGAGGGTCCAGCGGCAGGGCAGGGGCCACCCGGGCGCTTGCATGGGCTGGCTGCTGGGGTGGCCCAAGGGCTCGGCAGGAGTGCGTGAGGCTTGGGACAGTCGCGGTGTTCCAGTTGGTGGTTCAGATTCAAGGGAGGTGAGCCCGGTCAGGCGCACACTCGGAAGTCGAGAGCCGGGGCTGTTGGTGGTGCAGAATAGCTGGGAAGCATGGCACCCAAACAAGGGCTTCTGCTGGCGAGCAACCTCCAACCTGACGAACCTGCCACCTCACCCTGGGTTCCAAGCACGGCGCCACCCCACCCCAGATCACTCACACCTCGTGCATCCAATAGTATACCTGACCAAGCCCCACACTCACCATGAGCTCAACCATCTCAGCCGCGTCCTCGCCCGTCAGCTCCCCCATGGCGTGGCACCTGATCGCCATCGCCCGCCACAGCAGCTGCTTCTTCACAATCGCGGCCACCGCCGCCTCGGCCCCTGCGCCACTGCCGCTCGATGCGCCGCCCGCCGCCCCCGCGACGCCGGCACCGGCGGCTGCCGTTGAGGCCCCGGCGGCGCCCCGCAGAGCCTCCAGTTGGGAGTCCAGCTCGTTGGCGACGGCGGCCGTCATGCGCGCGAACTGGCGCGCGAGCGCGCGGAACCTCGGGATGTGCTCCGACAGGTGGGCCGCCAGCTGCACGTTGGTGAGTCCGAGGCACAAGGTGGTCGCGTTATTGAGACCCCAACAACACCGTCACTGCAGCGCGGCTCGGCAAAGCCACTCGCGAAGAATGATGCAAACTATGGAGGAAAAGGCGCTCAGTGAGACACTTTGGACTCGCGCATCTGACACTGGTGGGCCCTGAATTCAAAACCCTGACTTGGACACCATGCAAGCCTCGGCCCAGTCTCGACCAGGTCTCAGGCCGCACCCCTGCCTCGGCCACCTGGTGTGATGTGACTCAGACCCACCTCTCCCAGCAGTGCGACGGCCTCTTGCTCCCTGGGCGTGTCTGACAGGTGGTCCGCCAGGGATGACAGCTCCTGCACACCCGGGGTGAGGGGCAGCGAGGGCATTTGCGCAGAGAAAGCGGCAGGCAGGGCAGTTTGAGCTCCCAACTGTATGTACTGCAAGAGCTCCTTCAGGAGCACAGCCCTCTCAATATTCGGCTGCTGTTTGAAGACATGCACTTGGTGTGACCCTTGGCTCTACAGCGAGCTGGATACACCCGAGGTCGTCTGCATGCGAGAGCGAATCAAATGCAGTGCCTCACCTCGAACAGCGCAGGAAGGGTGTCCCCCTCCCAGCCGTCGCGCCACACCCGGGCAGCTGGCCGTCCCGCCCCGGCGCCCTGAAGCTCCCCCAGGTGGTACACCGCCTGTCGCACCAGCGTCCGCACCACGGGGGCGCCAAGCGGAAGCTCGCGCTCGTACAGGCGGCCGCCAGGCGGTGCAGCTGGGCATGGGGGTAGGGCAGGCCGGCCAGGATATGGAGCGCCGGCTTAGACAGCCAGGCAGGGCGCTCGTCTGCGCCGCAGGCCGGGGGGGGGGGCCGGAGCAGAAAGGTTTGAGGGAAGGAAAGAGGGCGAGGCCGCGATAAAGGTGAGTGGAGTTGGGCTGGGCTGTAGGTGGCTGGCACAGACTGATGGCTTACGTTTGGTAGAAGATGAACAGGAGTTCGGCTTCCGTGTCTATATACAACCCTCTTGAAATGCTCACAGTCCAGATGACAACAGCACAGCTGCAAAGGGCGGTGTTTGCAGCAGCGCAGCGTGGCTTGATCACCTGGCGCCGCGATGGCCACGTTTCCGCGCTCATGGGGGATGGCGTGAAATGCTGTGCAGTCCATGTAGCGCTGCAGCTGATGGTCGCCTGTTTGGGGGAAAAGATCGGTGATGGGATCAGACTACTTTCAGTGGGAACACGTGATTTGGGGAGTGCAAAACAGGCTGGGGTTTGAGAAAGCGCGAGTGCGCAAGAGTTTTGCAGGTGGAAGTCTACTGGTTGAGCATCAGGTCCAGGGTGTTTGTCACAGTTGGCATGGGTCAAGCAAGTCAAACAACCCCCTGCCTCTGCAAGACACAATTTGTGTGACATGACAAAAAAGCCTCATGACATGATTTCTGACATGCGTGCTCTCACCTGGCAGAAGCTGCTCTGTGTAGGCCAGCACCAGCGCGCGTCCGTCCTTGAGAGGCGCAAAGGGGTTGAACGGCACCGCAAAGCCGCTGTTGCTCTTGGATACCTCTGGGATGCCGTTCCAAGCCATTTCAGGCGCCAGTGAGTCTGGGTACCAAATGCCATCCTCGCGGGAGTGCATGTGATCAATGGTGGACGGCCTGATGGTTGATCGGTCTGGGACTTCGCTGCGGGACACCAGCAGAACGTCGCCATCAGTGCCAGGGAAATCAAAGGTTGTGTCGCCGTAGGCATTGGTCTGGTGAGTGTTGTAGTGCTGCGGGATGCAGGAGGATGAGCAGCAGATGTGCATGTTTAAATGTGCGGTGTGCATGCGTTTGTGCATGCGTGCATGCGTGCATGCGTGCTTGCATGCATGCGTGCGTGCGTATGTGCCTGGGCGTGCGTGCGTGCATGCGTGCGTGCGTGGGCGTATGCGTGCGCACGCGAGCACGCACGTGTGTGTCTGTGTGTATGTGTGTGTGCACTAGCTTGTGCACGTGCACGTGCATATGTGAATGTGCGCGTGCAAGTGCATGGACATGTGAGTGCGTGGACGTGCGGGCAGTTGTATTCGAATGCTCCAATCCATGCAGGGGCGGTGTTGCCAGATTTGCTTTACTCACCTTCGTCAGCGACAAGGGGTAGTCCGGCACCTGCAGCCGGAGGCGGCATCCACCACGGATACTACATAACAGATTTGGCACTATGATAGAGGTCCAGACCGGCCATGCACATTGCCGACCGCACAGGGATGCCCGGGCACATCAGGGAAAGCAGCATGCCACAAACCTTAAGGGCTTCCTTGGTGTCGGCGCCGCAGGGCCACACCAGCAGCTGCTGCGCCGCAAAAGCCGCGCGAGCAAGGCAGCGCAGCCGCGGCGCGGCTTCCCCCATGTGCAGCCAAAACAGCCACCGCAGCGCCTTCTTAGGGTTGCGCGGCAGCGGCTGCACGACAGAACGCGGAGGCTTGAGCTCCTCCGTCAGCGCATTTTCAGTGGCCTTGACCTCGCTACGCTTGCTGCGGACCCGGCGGTCAGCGCTCTCGACGCTGACCCCTGCGCTCTTGTACTCCCAGGTGCCGTATAAGTGAGCGTCGCGGCTTGCAGTGGCGTCAGCCAGCTGTGATGACAGCACCTGCAGCTCCTGCTCGAGGCGCGCCAGCTTGACGCGCAGCTGGGCGGCCCGCCTCTGCTTGCCCTGCACCTTGGACCAGTGGGCGCTGACGCGGGCCTCGGCTGCTGCCTGGTGGGCAGCGTACTTGCTGAGCAGCTCCTGGCAGCCCCTGGAGGAAGACGCCAAGGCGGGGCGGCAAGTCTTGTTGGTTCGTGTGCGGCAGGCAGGCAGTACAACGCCTCCAGGTGGGACCCAGGCCTGCAGCTGCATGTGGCTCAAAACATTTACGGCTTCAACAGGATTTGACCATAAGCAGGGCCATGTGCAGGACTCAGAATGCCACACAAACCCAGCAAACAAGAAAGCCCCGCCGCTCACAGCCCAAACTCCTCCGCCAGCTCGAAGGTCGCATCACAGCCGCTGCGCAGGCAGAACGCCTCGCGCCCCCGCCGCTCCCGCTGCGAGAGGTAGCCGGCCGCCGCCAGGGCCGCGTCCTGCGCGAGGCGGTCCCCCAGCACCAGGTGCTGCAGCTCCCTGTAATCCAGGGCCACACCGTAGCGCGTCAGAAGGGTGTGCTCTGCAGCTGCGTCGGCATGCAGCAGGCAATAGGCGCACCAAGCCTAGACAGGTGGCGACGGGAAGATGGGTTGGCGGCGGCGTGAGATTCGTCAGTCGGTGGCCGGCCCTCTTGCCTACAGGGAAATATGCAAAATGTCAGGTGGAGTGGGTAGGCCTGCAACCAAGCAAGGCGAGCCAGCTGAGGTGGAAATGCGGCGCTGCATGGGCCGTCGGTTGCTGCATGAGTGCTGGCAAAGGCTCGTGGCTGCCCACCATCAGCACGCCGCGGCTCTGGATTTCAACCCGCATGGAAGCCGCGACCGCGGCCGGCCGCCCCAAGAGGGCGTGCAGGTCTTGCCAGTAAGCATCCGCCAGCTCAGACAGCGCCAACGCCTCAGGCACGCCGCCCAGCCCATCGGCAGCGCCGCCGCCGCCGGTCTGCAGCGCCACCATGCGCGGGAACACATGCCGCTCTACCAGGCGCATGCGGTGCTGCAGCGCCGCGTCGGAAACGGCGCCGTCCTCGTCGTTCGACGCCCAGAGGCTGCTGTATTTGACAACCACCAGGGCCTGGACAAAGGTGCACCCCTCTCGCAGCAGCGGCTGCGACCCCAGGGCGCGCGCCGCGCGCGCGCGCGCCGCAGCGAGGCCGGACGCGTCGCTCCTGGCCTCAGCCGGCGGCGGGAGCACGCCGTGCGGCAGCTCCACGTGCGCTGGCCAGCGGCCGGCGGGCGGCAGATCAAACTGCTCCGCCTCCCGCAGAGCTCGGCCCTGCACGGCGCGCTCAAGCGCCGCCCTCGCGCCTTCCAGCGCCGCCTCGATCGGCGCGATGGAGCGGCTGTCGTCTGCCAGCTGCTCGGCGGCTCCTGTTGCCGCAGAGATCATGGTCATGACCGCGTTGACCGTGGCGGGCACTGCAGTGTCTGGGCGCAGCAGCTCGGCCTGGCGGGCGGCGAGCCAGGCGTGGAGGTGCGCCAGGGCCTGGTGGTGGAGCAGCTGGGGGTCCTGGGCCCCGTTGAGGGTCAGCAGGGCCTAAGGTAACCAGCGGAGAGACAGAGGGGGGTTTGGAAGTAGGGGCAGTGTGGGGCAATGACAAACACCCATTGCTGACTGTGGATCGAGCAGGCTGGAGTCTGGGAGTTGCAGCTGATTGGCTCAAGGGGACAGCGGTGGCTTTTGCGTAGGCCGCTGACTGCAGGAGAGGCGGGGTACACGCATGAGAGACTGCTACACCCTATCCCCTGCATGATGTCATGAGGCCCTAACCCCACTCACCTTGAGCCCCTGTGAGACAAGCGGCCAGCAGGTGTTGCGCTGGTGCGACCCCGTGTGTGTGCCCACTGCCGCGCAGGGACGAAAGGCGGCACGGGCAGAGAGGTGGAGCGGCATTGAGCCCTCTAGGGCCAGCAGATGTGTTCGCAGTCACCAGCATTGAGCTGCAGGACAGGCGTACACAAGCGGTTGGTCCTGCCACCAATCCGCATACACGTACGACGTGCTGTCCCGCATCCTGCAGTCCTCCCGCATGAGCTACTGCTCACTCACCGTCTGTGGTGCCGCCTCGCGCATGGACCTCCGGCTGAGCCTCTCCGCCGCCGTCACCGGCCACCGCTGCTCCTTGCATTCTTGCCAGAGCGCGCTGCAGCGCCGCCAGCGCAAACGCCGGTGTGTGCTGATGGGCCCTGCTGTTTGAGTCTCTCTTCCTTTTCTTTATCTTTGCCTCCTGCATTATGTCACGCCAGGCCCTGATCAGGGGTTCCAGATCTGAGGCCGCGACGGCGCCCACGAACGCAAGGGCATGGTCGTCGGCCGATGCGGTGTGGGTGGAACCGCCAAGGAAGCTGCGCTTCGACAGCAGTGTGGGGCACGATTTGCGCGAGGTTTAGTGAGATTGTGCGGTCCTGAGTCAATGCTGTGGCATCAGCAGGAGCAGACAATCTGGGGAGAATGGTCGCATCAATGCGTGTGCCTGTTGCATTTATGGATATACTTTTAGACGAGCACCCACCTGTGCACTTCAAAACGCCAGCCGTCCAAGCACACCAAGTGCAGGTGCAGCTCCCCGACCCCGACCACCGGCCCCGGCAGCAGCGGCGCGTTGCCGCCGCAAGCTGCGGCGGCGGGCGTGCACGTGGGCGCTGGCGGCAGTGCCAGCAGGAGGCAGCCGTAGTCTGGCTGGAAGGACGCGAGGTCGCTGGCCAGCAGCTCGGCCGCCACTGACAGCTTTGGGAGGCCAGCCAACAGCTCGGGCGTGCACAAGCTGGGGTGGGCCTGAGGGGGCAGGCACGAGGGCGGAGCGCAGGGGAGCAGAGACGCACAGGTGTGTGGTTTCAAGGGTGGTCTTCTGAGATTCACAGGTATGGTGCTGCAGGTTTTATGGTCAGGACAGTCAGCACGTCAACCACACGCAGTCCAGGAGCTCCTCAGCACACATCTGGACTGCAACAGCACGCCGCCCTGATCCAGGCTGTTGCCCCCACCCAAGTGTCGCGGCCGCACCGCATGGTGAGCGAGGAAGCGCCGCAGGACGTCGGAGAGAGCCTTTGCGGTCCTCGGATCCTGGCTGGATGGGGCCGGCAGGTGCGTGAAGGAGTAGATGCCATGCAGGAGGCCCTCCTCCTCGCACCATGCAGGCAGCTCCTGGGGATGTCGGATGTCGGAAGGCCAGGCGAGGTTCACGAGGTGGGGGGATGCATGTGACGGGGGCAGTTGCAGACGGCCCAATAAGAGGATCAAGCACCACGTTCCGAGGTTGTTGACAGCCACGTAGAAGCCAAAGCCAGGGAAGAGCGCCGTGCTTTGGAAAGCTGTCTTGCTCAATGGCGGAGCAGATTGACGCTAGAAGCAACAGCTTGCACGAATCTGTGCCTGCGTTTGGGCAAGGCACTGTGCAAGGCAGCGATCGTACATGCGATAACACCAACCTCGATGGTTGAGTTCGCCTCCTTGGACGCCTCCAGAGCCGGCGGTTCCTGCACGTCCGGCAGCGCGGCCGCGGCGAGCAGGCGCTGGGTGCGCGCCCCTGTGGTGGCGCGGAGGCCCACATGGTGCCGTAAAATGAGTGGGCGTGCGCCCCCCCGCCAGGAGGCGGCCGCTGGGGCTGCAGAGCAGTGGCCCCTCATTTGCCAGTGATGGTGTATCAAGGTTGCATGTACGGGTGATGAATGGGCAAGCTGCTGGCCACGTGCAAGCGACGCAAAAAAGATCCATCTATCTGTGGAAATGATGGCCAACAAACACCAAATAACGCTGTTCTGTCCAGTCAGTTGCTTGTCAGTGGCCATCACTGATATCCCAGGGGTAGCCCCAAATCTAAGGGCGGGAGTTACAGCCTGTCGGGCCCCCACAAACTGCGCAACACAGCTTGGCTGTGCATGCGCCACATTGCAAGCATGCAAGCTGCAAACGACAAGCAATGCAGGTGTGGTAATGGAGCCTGCCTGCCGGAGTGCACGTCGCTGCAGCAAATGCTTAGGCTGCTTGAGAGGGACACATGGCCACTCACGACTTGTGCATGAGGCCGATTAATGGATCTTCATGTAAACTCGTTGCACCCTGATATCAGTTCAGGAGGATTTGTGGCGCGTTGGGGCAGCACATGGATGCTTGTGCACTGCTGCAATCGTCACCACTCAGCAATGCTGGCCCCACGCTGAAAGCCCCGTGCCACTGCGGTCCCCATGCACCTGCCGCTAGTCGTCGCACCTTTGAAACAAAATAATTCAGTCATTTGGGCTGTTGGAGGCTGTGAGGTGTGGACACGCTGCCCCACGCTGAGCGCGCAACTTGGCCGGGGCGCTTGATGCACATGAGCCAGCCGGCCCTGCTGTGGTTCGACCCACACATCAACCACAGCGTGATCTGAATTTGGCAGACATCCATTTCAAACGCCGCGAATCCGTGTGAGTGTGTCGTGTGCATACATACGGAACCCGATCGGATCTCAGATCGCGCTGCATGAACACGCCGGAATGCACGCAGTGTGTGTGGAGATGCGAGTATGAGTACTCAGCCTGTGCAGTTGATCAGTGTTTCGCCACACTACAGCGCCAGCATGGCAGCCAAGCACGCTGTTACTTGAGCAGCAACCTTCTTGCCAGCCCAGTCCGCTAGGGGCAGCTACATGCGTCACCTGCTTCAAAGAGGGTAAGAACTCATGTAGCAAACACTTGAGGTGAATGGTGATACGAGTCTTGTGGAACGGGTACGGCCAGGGATACACCACTCTCTTTGTGTACAGCAAGTACTGCGCTACTTGGCACACACTCGCTACTGCCGGCATGTTCCCGGTATAAAGATCAAGAAAGAGGTAGCTGAGGTAGATATAGACAGTATTTCAGAAACATCCCAAGCCTGCCACATTGTTGACAGAAATATGCAAGGCCTCACGCATGCACAGCTGCAAGAGATGGCTCACAGGGAGTTCAGCCGTGTGACCGACCGCAGGCAGCAGCAGAGAGTACGGTCCGCAGGCCGCTTTCACCCAATATTATACGGCGCTGTGCTCAGCCAAGTTTGCAAAATCGTGAAATTCTTGCGTCGACCTGCTAAACCGATTCACATCATGATGCATACTTTTTGCTCCATGGCCCTTGGGCATCCACCTCAGTCCGAGGCTAGGCAGACGCAAAATCCGGCGGCAGGCGGCTAGCCTTTGCGTTGGGTGCCATTAACACTATATTTATGTACCAATCTGTGTTACATCAGCTTTTGCCGTTGACACACGTGACGTGCTGATATTCAACGCGCGAAGCGCGACCGTAAATCTTTGTCGGCCAACGCTTAGCGAGCGTCGAATGAAGTCGGCGAAGAACCCTTCCAATTAAAAATGAATTTGTGGCTGTTGCTAGCGGCCGTTCTGTGCACGGCAGCGGCGCGCCTCGCTGGCGCGGCAGTCGCGTTCGAGGCGGTGCCAGCGGCGCTGGAGGAGCGCGGCATGCGTGAGCGGCCGGGGCGTAATGGGGGCATCAGGTATTAAGCAGCCTGATGCAATGGCCTCGCCTGCCAAGGGGCAGCACCCAGCCAGTTTCGATCGGATCCAAGGATGCAGCACGTCCGAGGATTTGCAGCGGGTCGTCGTGCTGGCGCATGCAACAACGACGTGCCCCCCCCCTGTGAATCCGTGCCCATCCACTGCAGAGCACTTTCGCGATGCAGATCAGCGTGCGGGGCAGGAAAGCTGGCTGCAGCATCTGCTCGGCACCGACTGCTACACACGTGCTGTGCAGGTGAGTGGCCACCTTTTCGCTGCCCGCTTTTCAGCCCTGCTTGTGGGTCCGCCACCGCATCATGGAGCAACAAAGTTCTCTCTACGCACCACCTGGGAGCCAGCGCTGCACTCCCACCGCGGCCGCTGCTATCTTGCTTCAGGAGCTGCGTGTCGAGTGCAACTCGATGGGCGATGAGCAGCGCGCCTGGCTGGCGGTCCACTTCGTCACCTGCCAGCAGCGTACCACACGGGACACGCCGTTCACCTGCAACCGCAGCCGCGGCATCAAGGCCTGCCTGTCAAGCATGGATGCAAGGACCAACACTGAGTACGCAGTGTTCCTTGGCAACGTGCACAGGTGCGCGATGGCGTGCGCGCGTCCACAGCAGTACAGTTGCGGCCCGGCGGGGAGGGGTCGGTTGGTACGTGAACGCTTGATGTGGTGTCATTTGTGCTGGGGCGCGTCTGCTGTGCTGCTGAACCCCTATTGCCTGCAAGGGCATGCAACCCACGTTCTTCAGGTCTGATTTCTACTTGCAACAGAAGAAGCAGCCGTTGCGAATAAAACAAACCCGCACCTGCAACTCCTTCGTTCCCTCCAAGCAGCATGTGCCTGTTCCTCCAGAACCAGCGGTTCCAGGAGCTCACGGCCCGCATGGTGAACGACATGGCCGCCGGCAGCCGCGCCGCAAACGCGACGCTTGCCGCCATCAGCAGGCAGCTGGAGGACCAGCAGGAGCGCCTGGAGGGGGCGCAGACGCAGCTTGGGCGGCTGCAGGTGAGGAGATGGCTGTCCGGCGTCTGCGAATGCTGCAGGAAAATGCGAGCAAGGACGCAGGGCTGTTTTTGCCTCCAAGCAAGGCAGTAATCCCTTCTGCTGTGCCACTTCACAGCCTCGCCACCGCTGTCATAGCTGTTAAGTGCACCGCCTTGGCAGAATCCGCGCTTGTTGCTACCCTCTGCACCTGCTTGCGTCCAAAAACATCCACCAGGAGCTTCAGGAGGAGACGTACACGCAGGCGGCCAAGGGGGCAGAAGGCGTTGATGCGCTCATCTCGCGCACAGAGGACCTGTCAAAGGCCATGGCCCAGTCGCTGCAGCTGTCGGTGGGCGGCCCTGCAGCTTGGGCGGTGGCGGATCGGCTCGGCTTCGTACGGGTCTGCGGCTGTGACAGCGGTTTACTCAGGGGGTTTTGCAGCCTCAGCTTCACTCACAGGAATATCGTCACTCTCCACTCGGGTCATTTTGGCTTCCTGTACAATTTGCAGAGAGAAGGATGCTAGCAAACATGCATCTCCTGGCTGCCCATCAGCGTGTTGTTGCCCCACGCTTCACAAAATTTCCATGCTGCAGGACGACATCATCAGCCTGCAGGGCGCGGCTGTGGTGGGCCTCGACAACTTGGTCGAGCGCCACGCCGCCCACACGCGCGACGCGGAGGCGCAGTGGGAGGCGCTGGCGCAGGGGGGCCGGGCGCTGGCCGAGCGTCAGGGCCGCTACGAGGCTTTCCAGGCGCGCGGGCGACCGGCGGGGCCCGCTTGCTGGCGCAGCAGCGATCGGAACTTTATGTCCTGCAACGAGAGCCGGCTCTGTCCAGTATCAGCTTGCAATACAATTGATGCACCGCAACCTTTGCCTGCTGGGCCACACTACTGGCCACCACGCGCTCACCTAGCACTCCCCCTTCACGCCGCGCAGGCGAAGCTCCTCAATGCATCCGAGGGACTGCTGGACAGAACCTCGGACATGCGACGCCTCATGGATCTCATCCTCGGCGCCCAATCCTCGGCCTCGACCGTCCTCGAGCGCCTCTCCGCGCGCCACATCGCAGCGCGGGACCTCGTTTTCTGGGCCGCGGCTATTGCACTTCCGCTGCTCTTTGTGGGTCAGGTCGACATTAAGCTCGGTCTCATAGGCATCACCTTGGCTGGCTTTGCATTGGAAAGCGCCCTCGGCCTGTGCGCGCTCCGCGGGGCCGCCGCCCTGCACGCGGCGTGGGCGGTGCGCGGGCTGGTGCTGCTCGGCGCGGCGGCGTTTGCGTGGTGGCGGCTGCACGAGGCGGGGCGCGCGCACAGGGAGCTGGTTGCGGAGGTCAGGGCCCTCAGGGAGGCGATGCGCCAGGTGAAGCCGGTTTGTAGGCACACACACTTTCGACAGGGTTGTGCTCTGCAAGGGCTGCAGGATCTTGGATGTTCAACAATGATTGCTGCCAGGGACACACGAGTATCATATGTGCGGGTGTTTCAGGCCCCAAATATGCTATTTTCAAATCACCAGACATCTCTACTGATGGTGACATGGCTCCCATACATGGCATGACACACCGCAGAAGGCCTGTGCAGAGCACTGCCCCAGTTGGCCCCACGGCGCGACGGGTGTTGCCACCGGCATGGCGCTCGGCATGCAGCCGCTGGCTTTGGTGCAGTCCGGCAGTGCCCACCTGCAGCAGCTACCGGCACACCCACCCCCGCAACAGGAGGCGGCCGTGGACCTGCGTGGTGGGCGCAAGCAACAGGCAGGGCCGGGCAGCAGTGTGCCTGCTGCCGGCCTGGTCCAGCTGCCATTGGCAGCACGTGGAGCTGCGCAGCAGCAGCAGCCGCAGGTACAGCCAACCTGGCACCAGCAAGTGCCTCAGCCCCACCTGTTGGGCAGCATCCCATGGCATCTGCTGCAGCATGCCCCTCCAGCGCACGTCCAGCCTTCACTTGTGCCACGTCAGCAGCACGCGGCAGCATTTGCAGCACAGCAGCAGAACCTAGAAACCACCCAGCACGAGGACCTGCAGCAGCCACAGCCTTTGCATGAGCTGGCGGGCGGCAGCCAGCGCGGCCCGCGGCGAGGCTGGCAGCAGCAGGATGAGGCAGCGGAAGGCGAGCGCGTCGCGGCGCCGAGCGCCTCGAGGCGTCGCGCAATTGTGGCGGCGGAGAGCAGCGTGAGCACAGGGACGGGAGCGAAGAGGAAATGCACCGGTGGGAGCGGCGGCAGGGCGCCGGCTGCGGCGGGCAGGAAGCGGGGCCAGCGCGCCGGGCAGGCCGAGGGCACTGATGAGGAATCAGGCGGGACGCCTGAGGGTGGCGGCGCAGGTGCTCAGGAGGCTGCAGGCACAGGTGCGGAGACTGGTGAAGAGGCTAGGCGGGCACGCGCCTGGCGTCGGTGGGGGTCGCTCATGGCAATGCTGGCTGCATGTAGCGGGCTCAAATTTGGTCCAAGCGCCCACGTCCGGCTGCCGTTCGCTGCCCGTAGACTATACTTTGATGCACCTACAAACATTGTCATCGCCGACCCGGTCCCCTTCCACTGTGCCCAACGCAGGTGCGGCGCCGCGCAAACGCGCCAGGCGAGCCGGCGCCCGATAACAGTGGTGGTCTGCGTAAGGGTGCCGTCCCCGCTGGCTGCTAGCAATCCAGTTGAGGCTTTGCCATACTTTTGCTAGGCTCTGTTTGTGTCGCTGCCGAGGGGCTTTGCTGAGGCTGGTGGTGACGCTTTCTTTTTTTTGCAGATGGACGTGTATGGGTTTAGTCTCATGGTTGAGAAATCATCCATTGCTGCACAGTATGGGAGTAAAGGTTCTACAGGAACCGTCTAAAAACACAAAATGGAACGGATCGGATGGGGGTTACACAAGCACAGCAACACAGCGGTCAAACCAGAACCCACGGTCAAAGTCACAAAGCACATGTGCAAAAGTCACTGGGGTGGCGGCGGCGGGGGTGCCTGCTGCTGCTGTGGAGGCGGCGGAGGGCCATCCTGCTGCTGCTGCTGCGGCGGCGGGGGCGGCGGCGCCATCCCTGGCGGCGGCGGGGGGCCAGGCCGCCCCTGCATAGGTCCCATCCCCCCCTGCGGCGGCGGCATCCCCGGCGGCGGCATGCCCCCCATTGGGCCAAAGGGGCCCGGGGGCGGCGGCATGCCTGCGCGGTTTTGGGGGGAGGCAAGGAGAACAATACGTTGAGTGTGAGATGCAGAGATTCAGTGGCCCGACCTGAGGTGCAACAGCAGCCATGAACACTGTTTGGCACAATGTCATACCCAAGTGCAATGGCCAAGTGCCCTTCCCAACGCCTACTTGCAGCCGAACTTTGCAAACCAAGGCAGAAAGATCAGACACGCTTCGCACACTCACCCGGCGGCAAGAACGGCCGGCCCCACTGCTGCATGCTCGGCGGCGGCGGCATCCCCGGCGGCATCCCCGGCCGGTGCATCCCCGGCGGCGGCATGCCCCCCATGGGGCCCATGTGGCCCGGCGGCGGCGGCATGCCCGGCGGCGGCCCCCCGTAGTACATGGGCGGCGGCGGCATGCCGGGCGGCGGGAACATGCCGGGCGGCGGCGGCCCCTGCATCCAGCCCGGCTGCGGTGGGGAGATGGGAAGGGCGGAGGGGAAACAGGCCTCAGGAGGAGCGGCGCGTAGCAGGTCAGGTGGCATGAACCCTATTGGCCCTGTGCCAGAGAGGGCTCACAAGCACGGTGGGGAGGAACAACGCAACTTGAACTTGCAGCTGCGCCCCGCACTCCTGCCGCAGCCTCGCCCAGCGCAAGAGCCCCGGCGGTGATCGACAGCTCACCGCGCCCGGCGGCGGCATCCCCGGCGGCGGCATGCCCGGCGGCGGCATGCCATGCGGCGCCATGGGAGGCGGGCCCGCGGCGAAGCCAGGCACGGCGGGCGGCTGCGCGGGCGCGGGCGCCTGTGGCGGCGGCGGGCCGCCGCCGTCTGCGAGGTGCTGCTGCGGCTGCTGGCGGGGGCCGGACGCAAACATGGTGTGGGGGCGGCTCTGGGCGGCCTGCTTGGCGCGTTTCTGCGCCGCCAGGAGCCGCTCGGCCGGCGTGCCGTGGCGCTCGCCTGTAAATCAAAGCGGCGGGTTCGAAGCAAGGTGGGAAGGTTTTAGTGAAAGTGCAATTGGCGTGCACCGCAACTCTCCAGGCATGCACGAACACACGCACACACACATGGGCGCACAAACACGCTGGCAGCATCAGCATCTGCACACGCACACAGGCCCCACACAAACACACACGCATGACCCCCCCCAAAAAGACACCACCTGCAGTCTCTGCTGCACCTCGCGACCCCTGCAAGCGCCGTCCCCCCACCCTCCGCGCCGCCAACGCCCACCCTTGGACTCCTTCTTATATGCGTACGACACCGCGATGGCGCGGTTGCACAGAAACTGCCCGTTCATGGCCTCTATCGCGGCGTCGCTGGCCTCGAAGCAGTCGTAGCTCACAAACCCAAAGCCTTTGCTGACGCCGGTGTCGGGGTCGCGCATGATCTTGGGGGTGTTGACGATCACGCCAAACGCGCTGAAGGTGTCGTACAGGAGCTGGAGGGGGGGGGGCGGGGATGGTGGGGTCGTCGGAGCCGTCCAGGAATGGGTATGGTGCTGGAAGGCTGAGGCGTTCCATGTTCAGCCCTCTCCATGGAGTGGGTGCCTGTCAGGACGGGCAGCAACGACGCTTGAGACAACAACTCGTCCGCGGCCCCACTCCCCCCTTTGCACCCCTCCTCGTTTTCCCACCGTGCGCACTCCTGCTCGTTGCCGTCCCGCAGCTGCAAGTGCGCGCCCTCCGCTGCCCAACGCCCCGCCCGCTCACCTTCTCGTCAACCTCCGGGTCCAGGTTGCCCACGAACAGGTTGGCCCCGACCTCGTTGGAGTTCTTGTCCTGAGAGGACTTGTTGACGCGGATGGGCTTGCCGTACAGCTTGACCATGTTCAGGATTTTGATGGACTGGGGGAGGAGGGGCATCGGGTGCGTGCATGTGTGTGTGTGTGTGTGTGTGTGTGTGTGTGTGTGTGTGTGGGCACACCCACGCGGGTATATATGAATGTTTGCAGAAAAAGAGAGAACGGGGAGAAAAAGAGAACGGGGCGCAAAAAAGACGGTTTCAATTTGGCTGCAAGCGTGGTGGCAGTGCATGCTCAAGGGCAACACAGCAATACGGCCAAGAAGCAATTCTGCAACCAGCTGGCAGCATGGAGCGCCCACAAGATATAGACACCGCCAGAGTTGCATGCCTGCCTTGCAGCTGCCGGCCTCCACTGTGCTAGCACTGCAATTATTCCAACGCCCGCAGATGTGACGACCGTCCCGCACGCTGTTGCCAGCTGGTGGCGCTCTCACAGCTGCCGGCGGCAACTATCATAAGATAGGTGTACGCGCGGCCTCCACGCTCCATCCAAAGTTGCAAGGGCCCTGCTGCTGCGCAGAACATCCCCCTGACACATCCTCTGCCGCCACGCCAAGATTCCGCGGCGCCCCCAGGCCTGCAGCGTCAACCCTGCTGCGCCCCCTTCAGCAGGCCGGCTCACATAATCGGCGTCCTCTTCTCCTCGAAACTCCACGAACCCGTAGCCCTGGTGGGCATTCGTCACGCGGTCCTTGGGCAGGTACACGTTGACTAAACGTGGGTGCCGTTTGGCAGGAGGCAGCAGATGTGCGTTTTCTTCTCAGGTGCGTGGGTGAGGCTGGCATAGGGTGCTGGAGCAAGGGCAAGGGCAGTGCTGCCGACACAAGTCAACGATCGAGCTACATACCACTCATTTCGAAGCAGGCGCCACGCCAGCTCATTGTGGGCGCGAGCTTTTGCGCAGCGTGCGCACAGCAGCAGCGCGCCTCTCCCCGCTGCACACCCCACCACAGCAGCGCACCGACTGGCCCCACTTGGGTGAACAGCTCCCAAACCAGCTCCTCTGTCAACTGCACAAATCCAGGGCGATGCACAAGCCATGGCTTGTTGCCGCAACACGTATTGGTTGTGAACAGGCGGAGCGTGTCATTGCAGGCGAGGCGAGACGGCTGCTGTTGCTGCTGCAAACTGCGCACGCTGCTGCAGATGCCGCATCCAGAGTGGCGGGCAGCCCGTAGCCCACCTGAGGGTCCAAGTTTCCCACGTAGATAGTGGCATCCTGGTTCCTGTCGTGTGAGTGCTGCCCGATCAAGTTGGTGCCCGCGCTGGCTGTGATCCGGCCGCCCGCGGCCGAGCCCCCGGTAGCCATGGCCGCGCGGGCCCGGAAGGCTAATTCTCAGCTGCTAATGCTGGTCCAGGAGGATAACACTCGACACTTCCAATTGGGGGTGATCTAAGGGTGTGTGTGTGGCGACACTAGAGCTGTAGATACAACAACAATGGCAACGTGATCTCCAGCAGCCTAGCACATGGGGCAAACGCTCTGTCACTGTGCAGGGTAGTAGAGTAAAGTAGAGTAGAGTGGACCGGGCGCTGGGCACCCAGTATGTTTTAAGGACGGGCGCGGGGGGTCAGGGCAACTGCCCGTGTCCCCGCTGCCCCACCGGTGCGGGGGACCTGGGGCCCCCCACTGGGCGCGTAGGGACCCTCAGGTGACGCCTTTGGGCTGCCCCTTACGGTGTCGCCGCGCACATACTTTTCGTCTATGACCCCGAGCGGACAAAGTTGGGACCCT